TTAGTTTAGTTTATCTTACCTTAGCCACTAAAGAATTAGTTTCTCTCTCGATATATACATCCTTTTTTTATTCCAATTACTGTGTATTCATCTGTGTTCACATGTGATGCTCTGATGCTCCGAGAGAGGTACCTGCGTTCTGTTTGCCGTGTGAAGTGGTATAATAGGGTGAGCGATATTAAGGTTAGGCGTCGAGTGCTATGTAAGGAGGGGAAATCAATCGACGACGTGGCTGTGAAGCAGCTGCATCGATTGGGAGAGATGGTTAGGACATGTATCACGCATGTGTTATGTCTAGCCATCGCCTTCCTCGACGATGGGCAATGTTAGCTGACATAGGGTCGGGTTAGAAAAGAACTAGTGGTGGTCAAACCAAAAAATGGCTTCATTAGTCAATGAAATCCAAAACAGTTAGTTTAGACCAGCTAGTCAAGTAGGAAGACGTAGACTTCCTGACTGTTTGGGGTCCTCGAGATGGTAAAAACCAATGTCAATGGCAGAAGACAACTGGTGATGTGGCTGGCTCAAAATCTTTCTCAATGGCTAGCTGGCGCAGATGCATCCACTTCTTGTAACTTACAGTATCCAATAAAACTATATTCTTCTTCTATATTTCTATTCCTTTTGCCTCGAATCACTCTTTTCTGTCTCTATTTTGCGTTTCTTTTCACTTTCTTCTTCTCTGGCTATGTGTGCTGAATGAAGTGGGGCGAATTGAACTGCTGCACATCGGTGCAAAGTTCTACGTTCTGTCTGTCTGTCTGGATTCAACATAGAACTTGGCACCGAAGTGCAGCAGTTCGAGTTGCCACGTTCCAAATAGCACACAGAGGTAGACAAGAAGATGAGTGGAGAGAATCAATAGAGTTTGACAAGTGTAAGAGTGAAACAGAATGGGTAATGGTAGGAAGGAATATGAAAGATTACAGAGACTGAATACATCTGCGCCATTGACAACGATTTTGAGCCATATCACCTATTGTCTCCAGCCATTGATTCCTAGAGTCCCGAGGGCCCCAACCCGGGAGTCTGCATCTCCCTACCTGACTCAGTTTAACTGTCAAGAATTTCATGGATTGATGCCATGTTTTTGTTTGGCCACCACTGGCTCTTTTCCAACCTTCACCTATATCAGCTAGCAAAGCCCGTCGGGGGAGGCGGTGGTTAGGCATGCGCAGCACGTGACCTAGCCATCTTAGTCTATGTAACTTTATAGCCTCGTCGATTGATTTTCCCTCTTTGCCCAACACTCTACGCCTAACGTCAACATTACTTATCTTGTGAAACCACCTAACGTGAGACAGGGATCGCAGACACCTATGATCGAAAGCAGTTAACCTTTTCATGTCTTCAACGCGTATTGGCCATGTTTCAGAGCCATAGAGAAGGACGGAGCGAACTGATGAGCAGTACACACGTCCCTTGGTTGATAACCGGATGTCACGCCTACGCCAGAGATGGTGTAAGTCAGCGAAAGCAGCTCGAGCTTTTCGGATCCGTGCTGAGATTTCATCGCCAATCAGTCCGTTGGTGCTAATACAACTTCCCAAGTAGGTGAAGTGTTCAACATGTTCTATCACTTCACTCCCTATCACTAAGTTAGGGGTTGACGTGGTCCGGTCCTGTAGCAGCATCTTACATTTTGCAGGGGCGAATCGCATGCCAAACATACGAAGATTGCTGCTCAAGGTGTTCAGAAGACTCCGCATTTTGTCAGCTTCCTCCCCTAACAGGACTATGTCATCTGCATATTCTAAGTCCATTAGATTATTCCCTGGTAACAGGTCGATTCCTAAGTCACTACGTTCAGTTGAGGATACTTCCGTTAGCATATCTATGACGAAGTTAAACAGAAATGGGGAAAGTGGACATCCCTGTCGGACACCACTGGTTGTTACCAATTCAGATGACAATTCCCCATAAGCCCTTACACGACTACGTGAGTTCTACGTTGAAACCAGTTAGTCATTCAGTCAGTCAGCTCCGATAGAGCTTTGTGTGGTTATGTCAGTGTGTGGATGGTTGTTACTATTCCGACTGCCCCTACACCATGGAAGTTGATTTTTGTTTCTTATGATACCTGAAATAGGAAGAGAATTAACATTGAGTGATTGCTGCTGAGCTTAGGAGATAGTTGGTTGAAACCGGTCACACACACACGCCATATGATACTATGGAACGTATCTGTGTAGTATTTTAAATTTCCCATTTAAATTTCCTAATTTATTTCGACATAGTCGTTCTAGCTGGTGACTTTAATGCTCAAGTAGGGAAATTGTGTCAATCTGAGAAGGATGTCGGTGGCACCTATGGAGCTCCGTGCCAGCGAACCGACAACGGTGACCGTCTCCTACAGTTCTGCTCTGATAATCATTTGTTTCTTGTAAGCACTAACTTTAAACACAAGGAGAGACACTGTTTGACTTGGAGACCCCCTTCATCAAACCAACGCTGGACACAAATAGACCACATAGCAATAAGCTATCGTTGGCGTGGGTCGGTAGGAGATTGTCGCTCCTTCTGGAACACGTGCGTAGATACCGACCATGCACTGGTCCGCGCTCGGGTGTGCTTACGACTGAACGGACGTAGGAAACAGCTGGCGGTAAAACCATCACGTCCCCAGCTCGATCAGGAAACTAAATCCGTATTTCAGGAAGAACTAGCTAAACACATATCTGTGTTCGACAGCTGTGCTCACCCTGAAGAAGCTTGGAAAAATATCCAGGCAGCCATAGATACAGCTGTAAAAGCTGTGAATAAGGTAAACCCAAAGGTGAGTAAAAACCACTGGATCTCCACCGCCTCATCCGAACTGATAGATGCTAGAAGACTTATTCCGGCGAGCTCCGAATTCAATGAGGAGCGAAAGCTGCACAAGAGGAAACTTACGAAAAGTCTCCGCAAGGACCGTGAACAGTGGTGGGCGACAAAAGCCAAAGAGATGGAGAAAGCTTTGAGGATAGGCAACACCAGGCAACTCTTTGGACTCATCAGGGAAACGGGTGGGAGAAGACAAATCATTAGTGAGACAATCTCGGAAAAAAATGGCACTATAATTAGCTCACAGGATAGACGACTGGATCGTTGGAAAGAGCATTATGAGGAGCAGTTTAATTTGCCCACAGCCACGCTCAACCTTCCGAGCATCCAACACCTCCCTGAATGGGATATAGACACAGGTCCTCCGTCACTAACTGAGGTTACTAAAGCTGTCACCAATCTGAAACTAGGCAAAGCAGCGGGACCTGATGGAATGACTCCAGAGGTATTTAAGTACGGTGGAGACAGCTTACTGTCCGGATTAACTGAGGTACTAGGCAGCGTCTGGGAATCAGAAGAAGTCCCATCGGGTTGGTGTAAGTCACTGATTATCCCCATATACAAGAAGGGAGACAAGTCTTCCTGTGATAATCACAGAGGGATTAGCTTGACTAATATAGTATCTAAAGTCTTAGGCTCAATAATCATGCGTAGACTGAGTGGTGCTCGGGAAGCACAAACACGAGAGAGCCAGGCAGGCTTTAGACCAGGAAGAGGGTGTATTGATCATATCTTCACCCTCCGACAGATTCTAGAACATAGGCATTCCTACCGGCGTCCAACAGTCATTATATTTCTTGACCTAAAGGCAGCATTCGACTCTGTCGATCGGGAAGTTCTCTGGAGATGCTTGGCTGTAAAGGGAATTCCAAGAAAATATATTGCACTGATTAAGGCACTCTATTCGTACTCATACAGCCAGGTGAGGGCTTACGGCGAGCTGTCATCTGAACTGATGACGACCAGTGGTGTCCGTCAAGGATGCCCATTATCTCCTTTTCTATTCAACTTCATCATAGATGTGTTAATGGACTTAACCCTAGGTGACTTCAGCGACTCAGGGATTGACTTGCTACCGGGGAATAATCTCGTTGACTTGGAATATGCAGACGATATAGTCCTTCTAGGCGAAGACGCTGACGAAATGCAGAGTCTTCTAAACACCTTGAGCCGCAATCTACGAATGTTTGGCATGCGATTCGCTCCCGCCAAATGCAAGATGATGTTACAGGACTGGACTACATCGACGCCTAGTTTAAAAATAGGAAGTGAAGTGGTAGAGCACGTTGACCGCTTCACTTATTTGGGAAGTACCATCAGCCCCAACGGGCTGATCTCTGACGAAATCTCAGCACGAATACAAGGGGCTCGTTTCGCATTTGTTAGTTTACGCCGACTCTGGCGTAGACGAGATGTTCGACTATCGACCAAAGGGCGGGTGTACTGCTCATCAGTCCGCTCCGTCCTCCTTTATGGTTGTGAGACCTGGCCACTGAGAGTGGAAGACATGAAAAGACTAGCTGTCTTTGATCATAGGTGCCTGCGTTCTATTTCCCGTGTAAAGTGGCATAATAAGGTGAGCAACATGGAGGTTAGGCGTAGAGTTCTAGGTAAACAGGGGAAATCAATCGACGAAGTCGTGAAGCTACAAAGACTGAGATGGTTAGGACATGTGTTACGTATGCCAAGCCATCGCCTCCCTCGACGAGCAATGTTAGCGGATATAGGGTCAGGCTGGAAAAAAGCTAGCGGCGGTCAAACAAAAACTTGGCATCAGTCAATGAAATCCACAACAGTTGGTCTAAGCCACGTAGAAAGGTGTAGACTTCCAGGCTGGGGTCCTCGGGACGGTAAAAATCTATGGTTGGAAACAATTGGTGACATGGCTCAAAATCGTTCTCAGTGGCGCAGATGCATCCACTCCCTGTGACTTATGATCTTCAATGAAACTGTTTTGTATTTCTTTATTACTCCTTTGTCTCACACCTCTGCTCACTGTTTCTATTATGCTTTTCTTGTACTTTCTTCTCTTGCTTCGCGTGCTACACGGAATGTGGCGACTTGAACTTCCGCACATTTGTGCAAAGTTCTATGTCGAAAACAGACAGACAGACAATTTATTTCGATGTTTTTTTAAATGAAACTGTACATGAATTTTTTTGTGTTTTCTCCTTTAGGTTATGGAAAGCAATCGTACTCAGTGTACTGGACCATTTTATACCGGACAAAGAGGTGTTTTACCACCCCTAGTTACAACTGATTTTATTTCACGTGATCAAGGCACATGCGCTCCTTGTTTCATTAGATCTTCGTTATATGCTGTACCGACTAGTGCTGATCTTTTGAAGACTGTTGGTGTTCCCTTTTCACTGACAATATCACCATTCGCTGGTCAGCATAAAGATGATATGCATATTGTGATAAGTGATATGGGTCCTCAGGTGAGTTATTGTGTATTGTGATCAAGTGCATACTATGTATTGTTCATGCATGATTTGGTGAGTGAGCCGTGTCCAAGTACAAAAAAGTAATGACAACTTGATGGCTTGTTGATGTGTCGAGTTTAATCCAAATAATCTAGCGTAGATATAATTGAAAAGTATGTTCAACTTGCGTACATCAGTGGCACAGCGGTTAGAACGTTCGCCGACCATGCACATGGTCTGCGGCTGGATCCCCGGCCGACGCACATCCTTTACCTCGCTAAACCAGTAGTAAGACTGGTAAATAGGAAAGGTTGGGCATGAAGCTAGGCAACCCCATCCTGTAAAAATTAAACACTGCTACAGAAACTTCAAACCTCTAGCTTAGAGCTCTATGTTCCACTGGGAACGTAAAGGAAAAAAAAATTTCAACTTGCACATTAATAATTGTTTCATTATATGTGTAACTATTGATTAAAAATACAAATTTGGTTCATTATGGGCACCAAGATCAGATGGTCAGAAAAGATCACCAACAGGGATTTCTGGCAGCGAACGAACCAACCCAGCAGGAACCGATTGTACAACAAATATGCAAGGAGAAATGGAGGTCGATTGGCCATACTCTGCGAAAACAAACCAAGTGAGTGACATCACATGCCAGGCGAATGGGAAGCGGCGAGTTGGTCGTCAGTGTGAAGGTGACATGAAGCAGGAGGTCACATGAAGAGGAGATGAAAGTATGTGGTCAGATGTGGACCCAAATGATGAAAACGTTGGCAGAGAACCGATGGAAATGGAGACGTGCCGCTGAAGGTCTATGTTCCTCTAGGAACCAAAGGAAACAATACTATTTATAAAACAATTAGTTCCTTTTATAGAAAACCTACCCGGACAGGGCAGTATCTTAATTATCACAGTTTCTGACCTGTTCGGTAGAATAAAGCCTTAGTAAGGTGCCTCTTCAGTAGAATCCAACGAATATGCACTGAAGACACACTTGATGAAGAAGAAAGAAAGTCGACACAAACTCTGGTTGATAACAATTATCCAGACAAGTTCATCAGTAGATATAAAGTAGTCAGAACACCAAGATGCACTCTCGAACTCGCCGCTAAGAAAGACGTGTACATCAAGCTGCCCTATATGGGGTATCATAGCAGGTTGATAACTAGACAAAGATTGAACGCTGCTGTTAAAAGGACTTTTTATGCAGCTAATATCATAATAGTTGAGAATGTGAAGCCAATATATCCGTCCATCTAAGCTCATTGAACATTCGAAAAATAATGTCACATTCCACTGTATTTATCAATTTGAATGTACGTGTGAACACACATGCATAGGGAGGACTCATCAATCTCTGCAAGTACTGGCCGACTTCAGAGCATATACGTAAATGGCTCCGGAAACAAATAGAATTCCCATAACCCATTAATGATGAGAACAGGAGACCTAGCTCATCTATTGCGAAACTTATTACAGAGGAGACAAGACATAAAATTGACGTTAACACATCTTCCAAACTATCTATAAAACGTGTTTGGGGCGTATTCTAAAGTTTGTGGAGGTCCTGTCTAGTAATTAGAAAGTTTAAACCACCTTTATGCGTTTAAAGCAACAATTCGTCATCACACTAACTAAACCCCGAGTCGCTAGAGTCAGTTAGGATCAGTACCACTGGTACGTCTGCGATTAAAATAAACCAGAAATGGGGACATCATTTCGAATGACAACTCTTCATAAGCTGTTACTCGGCTGCATGAGTTCTAGTAGAGTGTCATTGGTGTCATTAGTGAGATGAAACTTCTTGATTACTGCCTTTACCACCAAATATCATTCGATGGAGTTGAACATCTTCAGGTCAAGAAGCATAGCAAGTGTCGCACACCAGTATGTAGTAAATATGCTTATGTTCTAGAATCTGTCGAAGGGTAAATGCACCATGATCAATGTACCCTCTTCTTGGCCTATAGCCTGACTGGTTTTCTCGTTTTATTTTCTCTCTCTCTCTCACGAGCAATGCTATTATTTGTCTTGTCTTTTTTCTTTCTTTTCTATACCATAGGGTCCTGTTCGGTGTATACGTTGTAAAGCCTATATGAATCCTTTTATGAATTTCATTGATGGTGGTCGACGATTTCAATGTCCACTGTGTAATGGGTTAACTGAAGTATCAGCGGAATATTTTGCTCACCTGGATCATACTGGACGTAGAATAGACGCTAGTCAACGACCTGAACTTTGTTTAGGTAGTTATGAGATATTAGCAACTGCAGAATATTGTAAAAATAGTCAACTACCTCTGCCGCCAGCGGTTATCTTTCTCATTGATGTTTCTCAGTCATCAATACGTTCTGGTGTCGTACAACTATTTTGTTCAAAGTTTGTCGAACGTATTCTACCAGTTTTACCGAAGTAAGTAAGCATGCAAGTAATGCATTGTTTATGGGTATTTATTTATCATTCTCTTTGGTTCCGAGTGGAAGCAACATAGGACTTCAGCAGGCACCACATATCTATTTCATCCTGGTTTTCTGCAATCATCTTTAGCCTGGCTCTATGACTGCTCATAAGCTCTCATCTCCTTCAGTGTGTGACTCTCGGACTCACTTCCCATGTTCAATCTGCCCCACTTTCATGTGCATTAGTTTACTTTTCTTTTGCTGGGCGGATTCACTGTCTGCTGGAGTCCCGTATTTCCAATCCTTTCTGGCTAACCATTTGATCTTCAGCATGGAGTCAGTGAAGGCATCTGTTGATAAAAGCCTGAAACCTGTTCCAAGGGCTTACGGTGACGTCTGCACCAAGTTTCTAAAAGATGATATAGAAGCACTGAAATACTGACTAACTGGTTTCAACGTAGAATTTTGCACCGATATGCAGCAGTTCGAGTCGCACAGTAGAGACAGTTAAGAGGGTTAATGAGGTAAAAAAAATAGCAATTTCGAAGAACAATATAGTTTCCTTGGATATTGTAAGTCACAAGAAGTGGATGCATCTGAGCCAGTCATTGTGAACAATTTTGAGCCAGTCACATCATCAATTGTCTCCAGCCATTGCCATTGGTTTTTACCGTCCTGTGGACCCCAACCAGTCAGTCAGGAAGTTTACATCTCCCTACTTGACTGACTGGTCTAAACTAACTGTTGTGGATTTCATTGACTAATGAAGCCATTTTTTGGATTGACCACCACTGACTCCTTTTCAACCTGAGCGTATGTCAGCTAACATTGCCTATCGTCGAGGAAGGCGATGGCTAGACATAACACATGCGTAACACATGTCCTAACCATCTCAGTCGATGTAACTTCACAGCCTTGTCGAAGCACCAACTGACTGACTTGATATTAATGGCACTCGGGAGGCACAAACACGAGAGAACCAGGCAGGCTTTAGGCCAGGAAGAGGGTGTATTGATCATATCTTCACCGTTCGACAGATTCTAGAACATAGGCATACTTACCGGTAGCATCCAACAATCATTATATTTCTTGACCTAAAGGCGGAATTCGATTCTGTCGACCGAGAGGTTCTCTGGCGATGCTTGGCTGTTAAGGTAAATGCCGAGAAAATACATTGCACTGATCAAGGCACTCTACTCGAACTCATGCAACCAAGTGAGGGCTTACGGCGATGCATCTACTCCTTGTTGATTTATTATTTCCAATGAAACTATATTGTTCTTCGTTACTACTGTTCCTTTGTCTCAAACCTCTGTTTACTGTCCCTATTATACATTTCTTCTGCCTTCTCTTGCTTTTTGTGCTACATGGAGGGAGTGTGGCGACTTGAACTGCCGGACATCGGTGCAAAGTTCTATGTCGAAAACAGACAGACAGACAATGTTGAAAATCTGCATCTTGTTCTTTATGCTTAGTGCAGTAGATCCCCAGATTGTGTTGCCCATCCGATCTTGACTGGTTTTGACATCATCTGTGCCGCCTATTGTTCAGATTTTTCCTGTTAGTAATGAATGATGCTTGTTGTTAATCTTGGTTGGGTTAACTTCATTGCTTCGGTTTTCTCCATGTTCCGTTGAAGTTCCGTCTTCACTGTCTGGCGCTACTGCCGACTTGTTTGCTTTCGCTTGTAGGCCTTCGAGTATGTGTTGTGACATTGGATATAAATCGTCCGTGAAATACAAATCTTGGGAGTACTGGACAGCTGTTTCGTTCCAGTTTGGGACTCACCCATGAGTGTTCGAACCCAGAACCTTGTGGTTACAAGGCTAGCGAGCGTGTAGGCCATTGAGCCAATGGGACCCTATCTGATGGTACTTGATTTCTAACTTCTGCCAATTCACCCACGACATATCGCGACCATTTCGCAATGCCTTCTTCGATGAGTTACTCTGCCTCATCTTCATATGATGTCGGGTGTTCATAATGAAATCCTCCATGGAATCAAACAAAAGTCCTTACAGAACCAATACTTGAGAATACAAATCTTCCTAGAGTTTTCTTGCTCCCAACGGTCTGCTGCATGGCAAAGTTAAACTTTCGACACCACTAACAACCAATCAGCAAACGACCTTGAACGGACCAATCACATTAAAGGGGCATTCTCCGTCTCAGCAGCTGCGTCTCTTACTGGCTATTTCAAGACCCAGTAGTTGCATATAGAAAAAATTTGCGTCCAGGAGAGGTGTGACCTTGCAAAAAAAGTCCCTACGAAATATTAAAATTATCAGCTTACCCTCTCTATTGCTAACTCGCTTCAAGCATACTGCCGAGCGATGGACAAATCCATCAGTTGACTTACTATAGCTTTTTAAAGTTATGACACCACCACACGAACAATTTCTCTCCTTCCGAAGCAAGCCTCAATCCAGGTAATACTGGAAAACACTGTCCTCCTCGAATTGCAGCCGTAACCTTGTTAGGGCACGCATTTGAAATGAATCAATCGCTATACAAAATTGAACTAGCGTTCGTGAGTCTCATTGGATAACTTGACGTCGTTCGCTGATTGGTAGTTAGTCATGCTTAAAGTTTAACTTGGCCTGCTGCATGATTCACTCCGTCATAATTAGGAATATCGTCGGTGATGGTCGTCAACCCTGTCTTATTCTCCTGTCTTTTACTTCAGAGACCACATCACTTGATATATGGTCTGATCACCATATATACATGTATATGTCTGTTTAATGAGATCGATAAAGGTTTTTGGCACTGTAGTAGTCTTGAAGCACTCTTCAAATCACTTAACAGTCAGAATCGATAAAATTGTTGAGGTAGACAGGTTTGACTACCCATTGTATTCTCTGTGACTAGTGTCAGTTATATGGGGGGGGGTGGTTTCAGTTGCATCCATATAGAATCAGCTCGTTGGTGATGTACTAGAACCTTCAAGTTACAGGATGAGTACGTTGGCCATTTAGTTATTGTGCTTCACTGGTTCATAATGTTAGATTGCTTACCAACTATTCATGTGGTCCGCATTTGATTCTTGGCCGACATACTCGTAAACCTTGTTTAGCTGGCGGCGGCTGGTGGTGGTGGGAGGGGATGTGTGCGTAAGGCTAACAATCCCATGCCGTTAAAAAACGCATCGCCGTTACTGAAACTCCGGAAGTTCGATATGTGAGACTGTTAATTATCGTTAACAGACGACGAGTAGTAGCAATACTTTTCGTAATGGATTTATGATTGTTCTTTCAGCTTACTTAATTCACTCGATGAATATGATGACAACCCATGTGGTGGGGATTCAAATTATCACAAAAAGGTCCAGTTAACGATATTAAGGAGACGATCGTAAGAGAAAGGATTAAAGAAGTAATAATAATAATAAGAATAAACAAGAAGTTTGGGTAAGAAACATAATCGGATAATAGTTATTGAATGTAATGACCAAGGGGTAAAGACAAAGATTGGATGTACTTCTTTTAAATACATAAAGTTGGCTTGAATTTTTGAATTGCTAGTGCTTCTTCAGCTGTGCTGAAAAGTCGTGATCTCACTCACTCATTCTCTATCTCTCTCTGTCTCTTTGAGAGATCTGATCAGATCTTGTGTATAGGACTTTGAAGGATTTTTTTATCAAATGGAACTGAGTGTTCTTAGTTCACCAGATGTCCTATTACCGACGTATAAACACACCTACATTCTCATTTTGCTAGTCAGGTTGAATAGTGTCTCGAATTGGATTTTACAGGCAGATGATCAATGCACTCAGCTTCTCAAGTGCAATTGTGCTGGTAATGTGCATGTTGATGTGGCCAAGTGTGATAGCTTGTCTTTCAAACTCATTGACCAAATAGTTTCTTGCGTAAGAAAATGTTATTCATAGATCGTCAGCAAAGTATGTTTCATTGAAAGATCTTGAATTTCTGCTTCATTATCACGTTTGAAGTCGAGATTTAGCAGAAGAATTGTTTTGCGAATAATTATCCTGTGGTCCGATTTCTCACTTAAACATCAGGGAACCTCCTTTGTCAAAAGGCAGTCGTAACAGATTGATTTTCAGACAAGTGTTTGTTCGCGGGGATTTAATTGATGACATTTTTAAGTATTGGTTTTGTAAGGATTTTGTGTTTGATTGTATGGAGGATTTCATCATGAGCTGACATCAGTTAGAGAACCGATGGAAAACCTGCAGGCAGTATTGGACAGCTGTTTCGTCCTATTTGGGACTCTTCACCAGCTGAAGAGTTGGGTCCCAGTGACTGAATGGTGTACGAGCTTGCTTTGTAACCGGAAGGTCCTGGGTTCTAACCTAGGTGCAGTCGGTGCATACTTCCGATGATTCCCAAACTAGGACGAAACAGCTATCCAGTACTCCTTGCAGATTTTCCAGTGGTTCTCAACTGATGTCAGCTCATGATGAAATCCTTCAAGCAGTCAAACACGAAATCCCTACAAAACCAATACTTGAAAATTAATCTGATGCTCACTAGTGACCGGCCCTGTTTAGGAAATCAACCTGGGGTTCTGGTGGGAAGCCGTGACCAGTAGGGTACAGCAGGTTGAAGATGAGGCAGTAACTCATCGAAGAGGACATTGCGAAATGGTCGCGCTATGTCGGGAATTGGCAGAAGTTAGAATTTATGGGCTGGTCTTTGGATTGGTTGGGTTCCAGTGGCTCAATGGTCTACGAGGTAGCTCGCCTTGTAACCAGAAGGTTCTGGCTTCGAGCCTTGGCGGTGGGTGCGTGCTGACGAAGAGTCCCAAACAGGGATGAAACAGCTGTCGAGTACTCCCAGGTTTTCCAGTGGTTCTCTAACTGATGTCAGCTCATGATCACACCAGTAACTGCGATCCATTCACATGACAAAATAATGAATGATTTCAATCTCTGCGAGATCTTGATTTCTGATCCCTACCTTATTTCTTAAAATTTTTTTCTTTCAAAATTATTATAGAGAAACATATGACCCACAAGATACTTCAATGAGTCCTCTTAGAGTTGGTTTTGTGACCTATGACCATCGACTACATTTTTACACAGTACCTCGTGAGACGAATACCTCTGCTGCTACTAAGGACTCATCACAACAGGATACTACAACAAATGATAGCGCTAATTACAATTATGGCAAGCCTCAAATGCATATTGTCGCGGATATTGAAGATGTATTTGTACCAGCAGTTGAAGGATTTCTTCTCCCACCAGATCCTAATATTATTTCAAGTGTTTTAGAAATGATACCTGCACAATTTTGTACAGAAAGTGCTGTTAGTAGACAACCGACAGATGCAGTTCTAGGACCAGCTATTCAAGCTGGTGTGGAGGCGTTGCGTGCTGCTAATTGTTCTGGCAAATTGTATGTTCTGCACGCAAATCTACCAGTTGGTGAAGCTCCTGGAAAATTGAAACATCGAGATGATCGACGGCTTATCGGAACTGAAAAGGAAAAAGTAAGTACTCTTGTCTTGGTGGGTTTAATAATCACTATTTTACTTGATATTTTTTGAGGGGAACTTGTATTATTAAGCGTTACATTTACTCCTGATACATTATGGTCACTAAAAGACGCACCATACAAGTCATTATCTCATAGTTTGTGTGAGGGCTGGGATACTTTACGTGGATGTCCACATCAAAACAGGTGGATTTAACAGGCCACCCTGTCCCCCTATTCTTTGATTTGAATTCTGATTCACAAGGCAGTTGAACAGCGTCAGGAGCAGCTATGTTTCCAGGGTTTCCAGTGACCAAAATAGGCTCGTACGCCATCATTCGATATATTCGGATTCTGGAACCATAGGGGCCAAGATAAACTTTAAGCACCACTAACTAACTAACTACCAATAGAGTGTGATCGAACCAAATGACCTTGAAACTTTCATTGAGCAAGTCAGCGAAACCTGGCAAATAATGTTGTCATCAACAATAAAATATATTCATCAAAGTGTGATATTATTAAATGGGACATCTGGCAAGTTTCAGCTTAGGTTTGTGAAAAATTAAGTTACGATTTAGGCGAAGGACGAGTTAGGTTAGGTTAGGTTAACCTAACAAAAGGCGATATTAGAGTTGGTTGGAGTTAGATTACAGTTAGTTTGGGGATATTTTCACGTTAGGGTTAGGTTGCGGAAAGATAAGGGTTATTGTTAGGTTTGGAAGACCTCAATAATTACACGCACAGAATTTGGTTAAGTTACTCTGTTGATATAAGAATAGAACTTGGGCACTGTATTATTATTATTTCCTTTAATTCCTAGAGAAAATAGGGCTTCAGCCGCACGTCTCCATTGCGTTTGATTCTCTGCCAACTCTCTCACCCCGCTCCAAGTCTTCCCACATGCTTTCATCTCCCCTTCACATGACCTCCTCCAAGGCACCCCACCGCGGGACGACCAACTCGCCGCTTCCTTTTCGGGTTCCACTAGAGCAATGGCTTGTCTAGTGATGTCACTTGATGGTTTCCTCAGTCTCTGGCCAATCCATCTCCATTTCTTCCTACATATTTGTTGCACAATCGGTTCCTGCTGGGTTGGTTCGCTCCAAGAGATCCCTGTTGCTGATGTTTTCTGGCCGGTCATCTGATCTTGAGTATTGAGCGAAGACAACTGTTAATGAAGGTTCGAAGTTTGTTTAAGGTGCTCTTCATGACACGGCGCCAAGTCTCTGATCCGTATAGTAGCACTGACTTCATGTCCGAGTTGAAAATCGGGATCTTATTTTCATTGTTATGCTATGTGCTGTTGATCTCCACACAGATTTGAGAGTAATGAAAGATTGTCTTGCTTTTCCAATTCTGGCTTTGATATCCTCATCAGTTCCGTCCGCTTGTAGTAGAAACGATGCTTCCCAGGCAGGTATGTAAAGGAGGTTGTTTCTTTTAGGTTCCTCCCATTTATGCTGGCTGATTGTTGTGTGTTGTTGTCGTTGTGGCTGTTGGTGTTGGCCAGGAATCTTCGTCACCTCTGTTTTCTCTATGTTCACCTAAAGTCCTATCTTCTCTGGATGCTTCTTCTGCCAACTTGTTTCTTTTCACTTGCATATATTTCGTTTTGTTGGAAATCAGACATATATCATCGACGAAGTCCAGATCCTCCAAGTCCTTTTTTGTGTGGGTCCATTTTATGCCTGTTTCCTGATTGTCTGTTGTCTGTCTGTCACATTATCCAATCTACTGCAATCAGGAATATCACTGGCGATAGTAGACAGCCAGCTTGCCTTACTTCCGTCCTCACTTCGAAGGATTCCGTAAGATTCCCGTTGTGGATTACTTGGCATGCAGCATTGTCGTACAACTGTTGAATGAGATGTATAATTGTCGATGGCACCCCGTAATAGCGAAGTAGTTGCCAAATGACCTCTCGATCGACGCTGTCGTAGGCACTGTGGCAGAGTATAATTCCATTGCGGATAAAATTTATTTTCATAACATCTCATAATGTTATACAGTAATATTTTGCTGATGACCACGTTTCGAGCACAATTTATTGCTCAGTAAATATTAGGGTATAACAGTGTGAGACTTTATCAAAATAAATTTTACCCACAATGGAATTATACTCTGTTGATACTCCAACCTAAAACTGAGAGCTATTTTTATTACATGTTTGAGAGGAAGGTAACCTCTGTAACACTTTTCAACAGTTTTTATGACTTTTTTTTCATAAATATATGTGTAATCCATACACTGAAATGCCTCCTTCACGTGATTGGTGCGTTTGAGGTCATTCGCTGATTGGTAGTTAGTTAGCTCTAGTGGTGCTTAAAGTTAAACTTTGCCGCCATAGGTTTGAAATCAGGGTTTTCCAACTGTCCTCACTGGGTGGTAGACCAGCATGTACCCCAATCAATATGGTTGTAAGCGTTAGATGTCCGTATTTGCTGTTTGAATTTTATGCGGAAGACACCTTTCGCTGTAGTGGAAGGCGGTGAATAACACTTATTTGGCAGAGGCTATAAAGGTGTGTGTGGCCACGTGAGAGTATTTTGAGAGGACGACCCACCTGATTATATGGCAAGCTCTTAAACCACCATTCAGACACTGGGACTCGACCTAGTGTTGTTGTGCATGAATTACAGCTTCTACCAATTCACACTATGTATAGAACAATCGCTAGCCAATGACTCGTGAGCAGCAGTAGGGGGTCCAATAAGTCGGGCAAGAGGGCAGTTATTTACTTGTGACATTGACTAGGAGTCACGTTATTTACTGCAAAATGACCGAGGTTAAAATTCATGGGCCGGACTGGATCCAATTCCAGTCGGTGAATGGTCTACAAGTACGCCTTATGATCATCAGAAGATCCTGATTTGAACACAGCGATGAAATTGGCTGTCCAGTACTACCTGGTGGTGGTGGTGGTGGTGGTTTCTAATGGTTCCCTAACTGAATTCATCTCGTGATAAAGCCAGTAACTTCTTACTACTAAACTAATCTCGAATGTGTATACTCGATGAGGAAGGTGACGACGTCTTATTTGATGTAACTTCACAAGCTAACTGACTGATCTCAATTTTCTCCTAGACATTTGTTGAGCACACTTGTTGGTTTGTTCGTCGCCAAAGATTTTTGTTGTTAATTCTTTTTGGACAGCTGGCCATTTGATGTCGGGTATGAAGAAGCTAGCGAAGGTAGCTGTGTTAATAAATGTCTGTAACTTATTGGAAATGGTTCTGGTGACATGTTGGCCGAATTCCTGATCCCTATAGAAGAATTGACTTCACATTCGTGTTGAACGGAATCCGAATCTTGTTCTTTATGCTGAGGCGGAGTGAGCGCAGAAGTTCTACAAACTGGTATCAGGTTTAATGAAGGCGTGCCTTGCCTTTGTGATCCATTCTGATTGGTGTTGACATCTTCATGAGTCCCGTGTTCGTGTGGTTGAAACCGTGTTTCCTAGCTGGATAAGCGAAGGAAGTGATGACGTGTGTCAAATCTCTCCTGTGGATGGTGATTGGTGCTGGCTGGTTGGTTGGTTATCTTCATCACCTGTCTTCTGTATGTTCGGCTGGAGTCCTGTGTTATCTGCCTGCTTTTTCCGACAGTTTGTTGGTTTTCTCCTGCCTGCAAGTCTTTGAGTTTGTGTGGCATTAGGCATATCTCATTTGCGGAACCCAGATCTTCTAGAGTCTTCTTTTTCTGTTATCCAGGGTATAACTATCTTCTCACACCCTGTGCACAGTTTGACGCATAATCCAGTACACCATAATTTTCATCGGCGGTAATAGGCAGTCAAGAGCCACTACTACTATCTGATCTTTTTATCTAACATTATACACCTAACTTTGCTAATTTTATTATTATTATTATTGTTCCCTTAGGTTCCTAGTGGAACATACGGCTTCAACATAGGGCACGTCTCCACTTGCTTCTGTTTTCCTTCTCCTGTACTTTTCACCTGCATCCATGTTAGCTAGTCCATACTGTTTCAACTCCTCTTCACACGATCTCCTCCATGTCACCCACCCATCCTTCCACTGACGTCCAACTCGCCGCTTCCCTTTCGGCCTGGTTCTACTCAACCAATGGCCTGACGCGCGAGCGATGTCACCCAGCGGCGGCCTCCTCAGCGATTGTCCAATGTGTCATCTTCACTTTCTCCTACATATTTGTGTTGGGCGATCGATTGGTTCTTGTTTTGTTTGTTTGTTCCCATAGTTTCTTCTTGTTGGTGATTCTGATGATTCTGGCCCGGCCATCTGATATGTAGTATAGAGCCAGCGAAGACAGTTGTTGTTGATATAGGTCTGAGTTAGCCTGTTGGTTCGAAATATTATTTGTGACCCGCCCGCCCGCCAAGTTTCTCATCCGTATAGAGGAACTGACTGACTTGACGTTTGTTTGTATTGAAAATCCGACGGAATTTTGTAGTTGATGCTGGCTGAGTGACGAAGATTTCCAGATTGGTTGTTTCAGGTTGATGATGTTGATGTGTTTCTCGCCTTCCCGATTCTCGATTCTCGTTTTGAAATCCTCGTCCGTTCCGATTTCCTGTAGTTGAGACAATGCTCCCTAGATAGGTGAATAAAGCAACCTCTTTCAAATACCTCGCGTTGACGGTGATTGGCCCTGGATGTTGCTGTTGTTGTTGTTGGTTGGTTATTTTCATAACCTCCATTTTGTCTATGTTCACCTGGAGTCCTGTCTTCGCCGTCTGCTTCTTCGACGAGTTTGTCGGTTTTCGCTTGTAAGTCTTCTATTTTGTGTGACATCAAACATAAATCATCCACGCGCGAAATCCAGGTCTTCTAGGTTCTTCACGTCAGTGGTCCAGGATATCCCTGTCTTCTCGTTTCCCATTCACTTTCTGACGTATAATCCAGTCAGTCCACCACAATTAGGAATATCATCGGTGATAATAGGCAGACAGCCTTGTCTGACTCCTGTGTTTACTCCAAACGCCTGGCTGAGTTTTCCGTTGTGGATGACTTGACATGTTCCGTTGTCGTACAGCTGTTGAATAAGGTTGATGAATATTTGGGGCACTGTACGCCGTAGTACTCGAGTAATTTCCAAATTACTTCGTGGTCAACGCTGTCTGTCGAAGGCCTTTTCAAAGTCTATAAAGTTGAGGTAGAGGTTTGATTGTCATTCCATGCTTTGTTCTGTGATGATGATGATGCGAAGAGTGGCAATTTGGTCAGAACATGTTTTGCCTTTCCTGAATCCAGCTTGTTCCGGTGGATAGCGGAGTTCTGTCTGCAGTGCGTCCTTTATTCTCTCCAGGATGATGCGACTTAGGATTTTAGTCGGCGTCGACAGGAGCATGATTCCTCGCCAGTTCTTGCAGAGTGAGGCGTAAGTCGCCCTTCTTTGGTAGTTTCACGACGTAACCTTTCCTCTAGTCGGTAGGGGAGGCACCTTTCCCTCTCTCCAGACCTTTTGCAATAATGGCGTCAGCATATCTCTCAGTAGTCATTAGGCATTATAATATAACAATATATTTATTCGGATGCATTTGTTTTTATTAATTATGACTGTTTTTCTCCCCCACTCGTCTCTTTCTCTCTTGTTAGACATTACTTATTCCAGATAGTGATTTCTACACTGGTCTTGGTCAAACTTGTGTCGAAGTTGGTTGTAGTGTAGACCTATTCCTTTTCCCTAATTCATATATCGATATCGCTTCATTGGCTGAAGTGCCAAGACTGTCGTCTGGAAATTTATACAAGTATAACTGTTTTCAGGTATGTCAACATGCGTTTTTATTTGTGTGTTGTAAATGTTAAAATTCAAAGTTAATTAGTGAATTAGTTAGCAAGTGAAACTTTTTTTAATCATTTATTGAATCGAAATGTGTGATTCACCTTTAATTGGACGACACTAGGTGATGAAACTGCTAAGGTCATGTCTCTAGTCCTTGGCATTTTTTTTAGTGCAGATTGAATTCTATTACAGTTAGGTTTGCAATGTGGCCGCCAACAAACTAGTTGGCTGACTCAACATCATGGTACAGTGTGAATTGTTGTTGTAAGAGAGTTGGAGGCTATCGGCAGGAAGCCTTGACTTGACTGACTTAGGTTGCATACTAATCGGCACTTACCAGTCAGCAAGGCATATCTGCAACCGCCTTCAATGAAGTAATCTCCCACCTCTCTGAGATTTGAACCCGCGTCACCCTGGGGTGTCTGCAATCAGAGAAGTTACCACTGAGTTATTCAGTTTAGCTAATGACTTCTTGTAGAAACTTGATGGATAATTTGGTTGACACTAGGGTAGTAACTAATGTCAAGCCGACTGACTAGATTCATCGTAGAACTTTGCATCGATATTCAGCAGTTCAAGTCGCCACACTCCCTCTATGTAGCTCACAAAGCAACAGAAGAAAGTAGAAGAAATGCAAAATAGAGACATTAAACGGAGATATGAGACAAACGGAATAATAATAACGAAAAACAATATAGTTTCATTGGAAATCATAAGTCACAAGGAGTGGATGCATCCACGCCATCACTGAGGACGATTTTGAGCTAGCCGCATCACCAATTGTCTCCAGCCTTCATTGATTTCTACCGTCCCTAGGACCCCAACCAGTCAGTCAGGAAGTCTGTACCTCACTACGTGACTGGCAGGCTGGTCTAAACTAACTGTTGTGAATTTCATTGACCAATGAAGCCATGTTTTGGTTTGACCACCACTGGCTCTTTTTCAACCTGACCGTATGTCAGCTGACATCGCCCATTGTCGAGGAAGGCGATGGCTAGGCGTGCGTAACACATTGATATATAAGAATAAAACTTGTGCACTGTGGTAGAGTATAATTCCATTATCAAAACAAAAATTTACCCATAATGGAATTATGCATAACACATGTCCTAACCATCTCAGTCGATGTAACCTCACAGCCTCGTTGATTTATCTCCCTTCATTTTTTACCTAGCACTCGACGCCTAACCTCAATATTGCCTACTCTATTATACCACTTAACACATACAGGAGATAGAACGCAGGGAGACACCTATGATAATAAAAGACAGATGGTGGTCGGCCTTTTCGTATCTTCCACTTTCAGTAACGATGTTTAACTCACATCCTGTCATAATGGAGGAAAGAGCGAACTGCAGCTGAGCGGTACAAACACCCTTTGGTCTACAGCTAGCCAGAGATGGCGTCATTTGGCATTATAGCTTGATTCCACACCGTGTTATTGGTACAAGTATGGAATTTTCAGCATGCTATATCGGTAGCCCAAATTTGCCGGCCGACCGTTGATATCAGGTGTGCGTTGGTAGGGGATTGAACCCCGGACCATGTGCATGATCGGCTAGAGTCCTAACCGCTCTGTGCTACCGACACCTTTTTGTATCCTTGCTGAGATTTCGTCAGCAATCAACCCACTGGTGTTGGCTGATGCAACTTCCCTTCAAATAAGCACGCTCAGCGATCACTTTGTCGCGGCTGTATCTGTTACTCCTGTGGTCTAGAACTTACAGCTATACACCTGCATAATCCCTTGACCCCTCCGTTCACCGAAATCTATACGTCTCCAGCTGAATCGCAAAGGTAAAGTTTTTACACATCCTTTTTACACAATATCTTTCTTAGTTTGAGGAACAACATTCATTGGAGTAGTCAAGACGTGTGTAGGCAATAAAAGAACGTATGTAATTGGCTCATGTTTAATGGAATTCGATGAAATGGATGGTAAACATTCTAGTGGTCAAAGATAGCTAGCCAACTTTTTCATCATATCTTTCACACTTTCAATGATATTAGATGTTTAGAGGCAATCGGCAGGAAGCCTTACCTGACCTAGGTTTTGTGCTAGTTAGCACTTACCAGTCAGCAAGGTGTATTTTCAACTGCCTTGAAGAGGAAGTCATCTCCTACTCCTCTGAGATTCGAAGCCGTGTCACCCCCCTATGGTGTCTGCAATCAGAGAAGTTACCACTCAGCTAGCTATTCGGACACGTGATTGACCTCCTGTAGGACTGTATTGGATACCTTGATTGGAGAATAGTCACTGACTAGTGTCCAATCAAAAGTACACTTTCAATGGCTCAAGTAATCTCTTCATTTCTTTTTGTCTTTTTATCTTCATAGGCTGATCTACAAGGTGAACAGTTCATAGCAGATTTACAACACACATTGAGAAATCTTCGTGCATTCAATGCTGTAATGCGTGTACGTACTAGTACAGGTATTCGACCTGTAGAATTCTTCGGCAATTGTTACCTGCCGAATACAACTGATGTGGAATTGGCTAGTATCACTTCTGATATGGCTATCACTGTGGAATTACGTCATGATGATAAACTACAAGAAGGTGAACTTGTTTTCATTCAAGTAAGAGTTATTATCATTATTATTGGTATTATTAAATACGACGTATTCATTTCGTCCTCTTCTTTACAGTCCTCTTCAACAGCTGACCCAACTAAAGCCCATAAGCTTTCATGTCATCCTTACATGTGATGTCTCCTCCATGTCACACACACGAACGTTCAACTCGTAGTTTCCCACTCGGGTGCTACTCGAGCTATGGTCTGGTGGGGCGTGGCGTGGTGTGGTGTGCGATATCAACCAACTTATCTGCTCAGATTGTATCTCATCCATCTCGAATTTTCTTCGAGTTTCTTGTTGTTAATAATTCTTTCTGATGACTGGTTGGCTATCTATCTCATCTTCAGTGTGTGCGGAGCCAGTGAAGTGGGCAGTTGTTGGTAAAAGTCTCAAGTGGTCTGTTAGAAATGGTATTAGAAAGCAAAAGGCTTAAGCGAAGAAATATTTATCTCAAAGGTGTGAATACACCTTGAGCCGCAATCTACGAATGTTTGGCATGCGATTCGCTCCCGCCAAATGCAAGATGATGTTACAGGACTGGACTACATCGACGTCTAGTTTAAAAATAGGAAGTGAAGTGGTAGAGCACGTTGACCGCTTCACTTATTTGGGAAGTACCATCAGCCAGTGCCAACTGGTTGATCTCTGACGAAATCTCAGCACGAATACAGGGGGCTCGTTTCGCATTGGCCAGCTTACGCCGACTCTGGCGTAGACGAGATGTTCGACTATCGACCAAAGGGCGGTTGTACTGCTCATCAGTCCGCTCCGACCTCCTTTATGGCCAGCTGTGAGACCTGGCCACTGAGAGTGGAAGACATGAAAAGACTAGTCAGCTGTCTTTGATCATAGGTGCCCGCGCTCTATTTCCCTTGTAAAGTGGCATAATAAGGTGAGCAACATCGAAGTTAGGCGTCGAGTTCTAGGTAAACAGGGGAAATCAATCGACGAAGTGATGAAGTTACAAAGGCTGAGATAGTTAGGGCATGTGTTACGTATGCCAAGTCATCGCCTCCCTCGACGAGCAATGTTAGCGGATATAGGGTCAGGCTGGAAAAAAGCTAGCGGCGGTCAAACAAAAACTTGGCTTCGCCAGTCAATGAAATCCACAACAGTTGGTCTAAGCCACGTAGGAATGTGTAGACTTCCAGGCTGGGGTCCTCGGGAGGGTAAAGATCAATGGTTGGAAACAATTGGTGACATGGCTCAAAATCGTTCTCAGTGGCGTAGATGCATCCACTCCTTGTGACTTATGATCTCCAATGAAACTGTTTTGTTCTTCGTTATTACTCCTTTGTCTCACACCTCTGCTCACTGTTTCTATTATACTTTTCTTGTACTTTCTTCTCTTGCTTCGCGTGCTACACGGAGTGTGGCGACTTGAACTGGTGCACATATGTGCAGAGTTCTATGTCGAAAACATACAGACAGACATACATACATGAAATAATAATAGTATGAAATGCAATTAAAATATTTGTGATTATAATCATAGTTAAATGTCAAATGGCAAAATAACTAATGTCATATATAGAATAATACATAAAGTGTATAGATTTTGGAAAGGTGGCTTATAATTATGGGATTAGTAGGCGAATATAAAATGTTACATAAAATGGTGTGAAATTTGATAAGATAGAATTCAATATTATAAAAGAAATAATAATTTTGGATTTAGAATGACAAGTGGGACAAGTGGAAATCATTCAAAGTGAGAATAGTGATAATAATAATAATTAATCTTAGTAGTGAGAGAAAGGTACATAGAATAACTAAATAAACAAAATAGATAAATAAATGTCTATCGCTCTGCGGCCAAAGCAGAAGTAGGGATTGTACATACTTCTTTTGTACACAAAGCTCTGACTGGCTTAAAGTCATGAATTGCCAAGGCCTCAGCTGTCTTTAGAATTCTGTAACGAAGAAAACACCGCCGGCAAGTTAGCATGGATTCGGTAGATGATAATCTTAAAATCATGAAAGAAATGGTCTCTACCACCTAACGGTTGCCTATTAAATTGCCAAAATCATCATCGAAGCACCGCATGCTTCAAACAGCAGAGGCTTTAGCAATTCGTCCCAAACAACCACTGCTTTGTGTTCAAAAGAAGCAAGTCCAGCTAGCTCCTACTACTGCTCTGGCTGGCCTTCAGTAGACACTATAAATTCATGAATTTGTAATATTATCCTTCCTAATTCTTCTGACATTCAGCTTATTTTATGTTGATGCTACTGAACTGTAATCTATCAGTATTATTGATTCGATGTTATTTAATCTGCAACATTAATGTTGTTGTTCATAACACTAATTCATTCATTCCTTCATTCACTATAATGTAGATATAACTGTAGAGCCTGATGATGAAGTTATTGAAAAGACCGAAAATACCCATTGAGTCATGAGTAAAATAAACGACAGATTCAGCGAAGAAAATGCTTCTTTATCGACGAAATCATCTTCAGAGGCTGTACAGTCGTATTTATACTTACAAAAATATATATAGTGGTCTATTATTGAGTTATAGGGGGCAGGTGACATAATTGATATAATTACTCAGAAGTGGCTCTAGAAGTGAAAATTAAAAGTTGTAAATTACATGGTACTCAATGGAACAAAGATAGAAGTTTGATAAGGTTAAAAATGCTCTTCAGTGAGAAGAAAGGTGGTAATTGAGTGTCAATTTAACAAGTGTGAAGAGGGTGTGAAATGTACATCAGGAGCATATGAGAGTGATAATAGTGAATTAATTATTAAAGCAAAAGTAAACTAAAAGTAAAATTAAAAAAGAAAAAAAATCAAAAGTTTTTACAGGAAATAATGACTAGTGAAGAGGTTAAGACCAAGGTAGTAGAATAAGAGACTGGACAAACTTTTTGTCTGTATACAGAGTTCGTGGTTTTATTGACGAATTGCCAACGCCTCCGTCATACACAAAAGCCGAAATTTGACACCCTTTGTACCATTTGGCTTCACTTTGTAGATGATGTTGAAAGACGACGACTCTGGTGGAGTGGCGTGGCCTGAGTTCACGCCAAGTGCTCGAAAATTGAGCTAGTAATTGTCTTGCATTGTCCTTTTGCTAACTTACCATGCCGGATAATGTTCAGAGATGCGTTTGGGAAGTGTTCGCCAATATAACTGTGGTTAGAGCTGGCTACTAGCCAAGTTGGTAGACAGTAATTTACGTCAATGTTTATGTCCCAAATAGTGGTCGGGAGAAAAATAAGAACAAAGGCTTTGCGTAGGCGGATACAGTTAGTTTATAGATGATCTGACATTCAAGAAACAGACACAAAGAGATGAGAGATTAACTTTCAGTGAGAAACCACCAGTCAGAAGACTGTTTTTCTGCTAACAGTAATCTATAATATGTACATGAAAATCTATAAATGTGTTGATTTTCTAAATAAACGATCTGTTGCCTGGCTCAGGTCTTCTGTTGTTACATAACTAGCTCCAAAAGAGCAAGTGAATTTATAAACACACACTGAGGTGGCCCAATATTCTGTCTTCAGTATCCATTCTTTTGTAGATATTGTTGTTTTGATTACTTTTGTGTGTGGCAGTCACCTTTTGGTTTGTGTTTGAAATCAATAATATATTACTGATACTAATATTACTATTAATAATTATATCTAAACAGGTTGCCTGTCTGTACACCTCCGTGTCTGGACAACGTCGTCTACGCATACATAATCTGTCTATACCAGCGACAAATGTCATCACTGAACTATTTCGTCTGGTTGAATTAGACGCACATATGAATTATCTGAGTAAATTTTCTATGCGCGCCTTATTAAGTCGTCCGCATACCCAAGTGATGGATGAGTTAACCACAAAAGCGGCTAACACACTAGCCGCATATCGGCGTAATTGTGCTACTGGAAGCGGTGGTGATATGGCCTCCAGCCCGGGTGAATTAGTTCTACCACAGAATATGAAATTATTCCCCTTGTATATACAATGTCTTATGAAAACTGAAGCTTTCAGTCCAGGTTGGTGCTACCTTTTATTATTGTAATTATTACTTTTTTCATTACAACTATTGATCAGTGTGTGTATATATTCTTTTATGGGCAATTATTGATGTGCGTACGACTGTTGAATGGGTACTTATTTCTACTCCTATTATTATTATTATGGTTCCCTTGGTATTGAATTGGTAGATGGTGACTAGCAGTAGAATCCAGGATGCGCATTTCGTCCTAATTGGGACTCGTCTCTAGCTGGATGTACCTGCACTTCTCAGTGAGTGATGATGTTCCCACCACTGAGGCTCGAACTCAGTGGCCATAGTTTCAGACGCCAGCCAAAGCGTTATCCACTAGACCACTTGGACCACGAGAGCCACTGTCTCTTGTGCAACGGGTAATATCAATTATTTAATTGACTTTTAGATTTTCCTGTCGACTGATTGCACCGAAGTGCTCGGTCTCAGGTTGACATGTCCCGTCAGCTTCTTGTGCATATGCTTCGATGATGTCTAGGTTCGAGCCTCGGTGGGAACATCATCACTCACTGAGAAATGCATACACATCCAGATGACGAGTCCCAAATAGGACGATATGCACATTGTCCTGGATTCCACTGCTAGTCGTCATCCACCAATTCAATACTAATGAAATGCCCAGACATCGTCGAAGCATCTGCACAAGAAGCCGACGAGACATGTCAACCTGAGACCGAGCGCTTCGGTGCAATCAATCGACGGGACAATCTAAAATTCAATTCAATAATTAATATGACCCGTTGCACAAGAGACAGTGACTCTCGTGGCCCAAGTGGTCTAGTGGATAACGCTTTAGCGTTTGAAACTATGGCCACTGGGTTCGAGCCTCAGTGGTGGGAACATCATCACTCACTGAGAAGTGCAGGTGCATCCAGGTAGCTGACGAGTCCTCAATAGGACGAAATGCGCATCCTGGATTCTACTGCTAGTCACCATCCACAGATTAAACTTGAGGAGAATTCAACTTTTTTGTCGATTGATAATTTTAAAGGATTTTGCGATACCCACCTCATGATTCGTATCAAGGAGATGCCTAGTAACGGTACTATTGTAAGCGTTTGTTCCCTTGAGACGTAGGCTTTTTGGTGCATGTTAAGTGAATTGGAGGCGTACCCTTCTTTCTCTTCTCTTAATGTGAATTCTCCCGCAGATACACGTAAATTTGTATTCATGGTTGGAGTTAACATCAGAAAGGTATCTGTCGACTTTTGATTGCACCACCGATGGGGAGCATGTTTTCCGATAGACGGGAACCAACTTAGCTGGAAGATAGGCTCTGGCTAGTGATGTACTTAATCTTCTGTTGATTATTGCTGCAATATTTTTAACCCCTTAAAAATTGAATTGAAAGACAAGCATTTTTCCCACTGTAATCTATTTGGCATTTTAGCCTTGACATCTTCCATATTTTGTTAGTGAATCTCTGAAGGTAACCTGTTGTTTTCAACTAGTGTTCGTTTATAGTTATTCGGAAAAAAACTATTAAAATGTAGGTATTATCCATTCCATGTAGACTTTCAGTCAATTGACCTGTGAAGAGACCACACCACCTTTCAGGTGTTGCATAGGGTGCGAGATGTCAGTCAAAGAACTGAATGAAACTTTCCATCATTTTTATGTTTTTATGTTTCATTACTTGTATGTATGTATGTATGTATGTCGTTGAATAATCCTCAGACTGTTTTGTTTTCCTCCACACCCCCACCCCTGCCAACCCCCGCGTTATTTTCCCCCATTTTAGCTGATGGTATTACAATTGATGATCGTTGTTGGCAAATGTTTTTAGTCAATCAGATGGATGTGAAACAATCAAACTGTTATCTTTATCCCCACTTATATCCTTTGGTAAGATATACACGCTTTTTTCAGCACAGATTTATATGTATTGTATGCATGTATGTGTGTATCTGTGTATGTATGCATGTGTGTGTTTGTTTGTGTTGTAAAGTTGAACACAATAGTTACAGGATTTCATCATGAGCTGATATTCGTTAGAGAAACACTGGAAAACCTGGGAGTACTGGACAGCTGTTTCGTTCTAGTTTGGGATACTTCAGCAGTGCGCACCCACCGGGGTTCGAACCCAGGACCTTCTGCTTACAAGGCGAGTTCGTATACCATTAAGCCACTGAGACCAAGACCCAATGGCCAGCCCATGAATTCCAACTTCTGCCATTTCATGACATAGCGCAACCCCCCGTAGCCAATGTCTTCGGCGAGTATTTGTCCTCCCACCCGACTTGCTGTACACCCTACTGGTTACGACTTCTCACTAGAACCCCAGGTAATTGGTTGGTGACAGGATTTCATCGTCTAGAGAACCATTGGAAAACCAGTACCCCCAGATTTTCCAATGGTTCTCTAACCAATATCAGCTTATGATGAAATCCTGTAACCAACCAAATCCCTACGAACCAACACTTAAATATTGAACACAACAGTCTTGAGAAACTTATTCACATCCCCTTTTTTGTCTTCCATGAAAAAAAAGATTAAGTCGACAGCACAGCAAAGAATAGACGCCAACACCGAATGACCTTGAATTAGCCAATCAGATTTTTCCGTATGAATAATTGGTACTTTTCAAGTATTGGTGTTTTTGTAGGGATTTTTGTTTGTTTGTTTGGAGAATTACATCATGAGCTGACCTTAGTTGGAGAACCATTGGAAAATCAGTTAGGGAGTACTACCAGACAGCAGCCAGTTGTTTCGTAGGCCTAGTTTGGGATAAGGACTTCAGCAGTATGCACTCACATCGTGGGTGGGGTTTGAACACAGGACCTTCTGGGTACAAGATGAGCTCTCAGACCATAGCATCTGTTGTATAAAATGTATATTTATAAGATATATATGTAATAAGAATGAATTGTACAGAGTATATATATATATGTGCGTCGGTGGCACAGTGGTTAGGACTCTCGCCGACCATGCACATGGTCCGGGGTTCGAGCCCACGCCGACGCACACCTGATATCTATGGTCGGCCTGCAAAATTTGGGCTACCGATATCCACGCTGAAAATTCCATACACGTACCAAAAATACAGTGTGGAATCAAGCTGTAATCAAAAATAAAAAATAAAATAAAAAATAAATATATATATATCTGTATATGGGAGTAAGACAAGCTGTTTGCCTACTACCTCTAATGATTTTATTGATCGAGGGTGGTAGACTGGATAATGCGACAGTCAGCGGGCAACAAGGGGACAGGCATAAATTGGACTCACACAAGAAACATGGAGGATGTGGACTTTGCCGATGATATTTCTTTGATTTCCCACAAACTGAAAGATATACAAGTGATGAAAAGCAACAAGTGGGCAGAAGAAATATCCAGAGAAGATAGGACTTTAGGTGAACATAGAGAAAACAGAGGTGACGAAGATTCCTGGCCAACACCAACATCAGCAACAACAATAACACACAACAATTAGACAGCATAAATGGGAGGAACCTGAAAGAAACAACCTCCTTTACCTACCCACCTACCTACCTACCTACCTGGGAAGCATCGTTCCAACTACAGGCGGACGGAGCTGACGAGGATATCAAAGCAGCGAGGATCGGAAAAGCAAGGAAAGCTTTCATTACTTTCAGGTCTGTGTGGAGATCAACACTCAGCACTCAGCATGAAAAATAAGATCTAGATTTTCAACTTCAATGTGAAATCAGTGCTACTCACAATACGGATCGGGGACTTGGCACCTCAAACAAACTACAGACCTTCATCAACAGCTACCTGTTTTCGCTCAATACTTCGCTCAGGATCAAATGGCCAGTCAGAAAAGGTCAGCAACAGGGATCTCTGGGGATCCTTATGCAGAATTCTTAAAAAGGCAGGAATAAAAGTAGCATGCAAACCCACAAACCCAATTAGAAACAAGCTTTGTTGGTTAAAAGATGCTGTGGAACCTTTAAAACAAAACAATTTAGTTTATCTAATACTCTCCCTGCTGGAATGATCGTCAGGTCAAATACATGGGTCAAACTAGTAGAACAGGGGCAGTCAGACTAGCCAAACATAAAAACCTTGCAGCAAAATCTAGATTGGTTGACCCGAATAAGATAAGAAATATAGAGAATAGTTCAGCTATAGCACTACATGCAGTTACACACAGCCATACATTTGGATGGGATAAGACGACAGTTTTAAAATCTAATGTAACAGGATGGAGGGAGGAGTGATTGATAACAGAAGCTTTGTATATCGAATCAGCTGAGAAGGAATACATGTAATAGAAATGATTCAACACCTGTCCAGCTGGATATCTGGAAAATTCCACTGCCCCTACGACAAATAGGGGAGGACGAAGAAAACTATAAAACTCAAATTTCAAAGTCGTGTGATTACAATTGATGGCATGATTATGAACAATGATGAATTTTGTTCGAAACTGTGTCATCCAGTAAATAATAATACTGTTTCACTCACTGTGTGTGATACATCTAATAAACAAACTAATATTGATAATAAATTCGTTGAAAAGAGTCTCTTCGCTGAACCATCACTTGTTTTGATTTTCTGTACAATTTTATCTGTTTTAATCATTTTATTTACGATTTACTTGTTTTTATTTTGTTTTTGTTTTGTCTTCGTTAGCATGATCTTTCAAGGAATTTTGAAGGTGATATACCTTTCCCCCCGTTAGCTATACGTTGTTCCTATGATCGTTTGAAAATGGATGGTGTTTATCTCCTGGATAACGGCATATATCTTATCATGTGGATTGGTCCAAATGTTTCAACGGATTGGATACAATCCGTGTTAAATGTACCGAATCCAAAACATTTTGAAAGTGAAAAGGTATCATTATGGTGGTGACAATGTTTATTTCTAAAATTTTTAATGTAACTGACGTAAATTACTGTCTACCAATTCTGGCTTGCCGCCAGCCGTCACTACACTCTTCCCCCCCGTCAACAACTTGCGACTGAAGTTGGTTCGATCTTCTCGGTTCTATGGGTTTTGTTCGTTTGTCTTGCTGTCTGGAATCTTGGCGCTTGCTGATGTTCACCTGTTTCTCTTTGTTTACCATTGCGATTGTGTCTGCATAACCCCATCTCAAAGTGACCATATATGGTCCTCCCCACTTTGGGAACTGTTTGCCTGACCCGGTCGCGCATTCGTCAGTATTTCGCCTCACACTTTCATATGCCGCTTTCTCCTGAAATCCCAGCAGCATCCCAACTAGCAGCCTCATCGCTGACCGATTGTGAACGCCACTCAACTCTGCAGAAGCCTCGAAGACCTGCCCGAAGATCCATATGTCTCCGTCAAAAACTGCAGGTCATTGACTTTCCATTTGTCGGTAGGCAGCGACACCAAATGTAACAATAGAAGACAAGGGCCAGCCAAACAGATCGTCTATTATGAAAATCAACACATATTTATAGATTTTCATGTACATTATTATAGATTATCGTAAGCAAACAAAGGCAGTCCTCTGATTGGTTGTGTCTCACTGCAAGTTAATCTTTCATCTCCTTTTGGCTGTTGCTTGAATGTCAGGTCATCTATCTGGTACTGTATCCGCCTACGCAAAGTCTACTGTGATTGGTTGTTGAGTCAGTCTTTGTTCTTATCCTTCTCTCATGACCGATATTGAGGACGTACACGTTGACGTAAATTACTATCTACCAATTTCGGCTAACAGCCCGCTCTCACCACAATATCAGTCCTTGGTCAAATTTGGAGTAGTTTTTGACCGAAAAGGGAGAAAATATATAACTAGCTCCACATTTGAAGTGGAATTTGTATACACACAAACACTGATGTGGCCAGATTAGGTACTTCATCTTTAGTACACTGTGTCAGTATCGGGCAGTATCGATAACTAATACATTTTATGAAATTATATCCTATCCGATTGAAAGTTTCCTACACAATACATTGGTAAAATACAAATGAGTTCATATAAAGAGTGAATCTGTAGCAAGCAGATTGTCTCTGCACATGGCCAAGGGAAATCTTCATGAGCATTTTCTCTATTATTTTGGTAATAAGTTTCTCACTACTCAAATCTATTATAAGTAACATGATTCAATTCTCAAAAATTCATCATATATTTTAGATTTATGATTTGGAGGCATATAATAATGAAACATCAAGTAATGTATGGTATGTAGTATGGACTATTCGTAAGACTCATCTACATTATTCTCGGGTAAGTAGAAATCTGTGTTTATTTTTTTGTTTTGTTTTCAAGAGTTAGTTTGTGCAGTGGATGCGCTGATTGGTCTCAAGTTTGATTATGAGTTGACATGAGGTGGAGAGAACTATTCAGAAAGCTAAGGAATAATTAAACAGAGCTGCTTCCTCCTAGTTAGGGACTCTTCAGGAGTGCACACACCCTTGACTACGACTCCGTATGACATCGGATCCAGAACCTTCAGGATTCCCCGGTGGGCCATCTCATTGGTTTCAGTGATTGGTCAAAGGGCTTACTTCGTAACATGATGCTCGTGTGTTCGATTACCAGCAGTAGTGATATGGATGTGTGTCACTGAAGAGACCAAAGCTAGGGTGAAACAGCTGTCCAGTACTCCTTGCTAGTATTTTGATTTGACACTGGTGACTAGTGTGATGTGTCTAGTCGTTTGTTTGGTGCAGACTGAATTCTATCAGTCAGTCAGGTTTGCAATGTAGCCACCATTCTAGTTAGCTCGCCATCACGGTGCAAATTGATTTGATGATATTAGATTGTTGGAGGTAATCGGCCACTGGAAGCCTTGGACGTAAATTTTGCGCTAGTTGGCACTCACCACCAATCAGCAAGGCGTATCTGCAATCTTGAAGGAGCTCATGTCCCTTCTAAAATGGTGGCCACATTGCAAACCTGACTGATAGAATTCAGTCTGCACCAAAGAGAGGACTAGACACATCACATTAGTTACTATCGTCAAATCAAAATATCCACTACAGTCAGTCCTACAGGAGGTCAATCGCGAGGCCGAATAGCTAGCTCATTGGTAACGTCTCTGACTGCAGCAATGTGTGACGCGGATTCGAATCTCAGAAGGATGGACATGAGTTCCTTCAGTGTTGTTGCAGATACGCTTTGTCAGCTGGTGGTGGTGAATGTCAACTAGCACGAAAACTAGGGCCAAGGCTTCCTGTGGCCAATCACCTCCAGCCATCTAATAATACTCCTTGGTTATTCTCAATAGTACGCTGACTGATAGCAACCCATGATCAACTCGTAAAAATAATAGTTTCTTCTATAACTGAAGGTGAAAACATAATGAGTTTACTTTGTAGATGACTCTGTATGATGGATAGATGCGTCGGTGGCACAGCGGTTAGGACTCTTGCCGATCATGTACATTGTGCAGGGTTCGATCCCTTGCCGACACACATCTGATATCAATGGCCGGCCTGCAAAATTCGGGCTACCGATATCACATGGCGAGAATTCCATTTTTGTACCGACAATACGATGTGGAATGAAGCTATAATAAAAAAAATAGATAAATAAATAAATAAGTGTCCATTGATATGCTGTGATAAGTGTTCACAAGGGGTGTTCAATTATAAAGGCTTTCTGATTGAACCGGTGCCTTCTATTTTTTGTACCTATGCTGATTAGTGTTCGTGAAACTCGTTTTAGAAGGCTGTGTATAGAACGACCATACGGCCACACGAGCACATGAATTGATATATATATATATATATATATATATATATATATATGCACATTGGAGTGCTCATATGCGAAAGTTTGTCCTTCACATTGCTTAAGCACGATGGATGGTTAGAGAATAACACTTTTAGAGTCGCTGCAGGTTCGTCGGTGGCACAGTGGTAGAATACTCGCTGATAAAGCATGTGGTCAGGGGTTCGATCCCCGGCTAACCTCACTAAGCCAGTAAACAAAAGACTGATAAAGGGAGAAGGTTTGGGCATGAGTTTAGCAACCTTATCCCGTAAAAATGAATACCCCTGCTGTCGAAACTTCAAGCCTCTAGCTTGAAACCGTCGCTGTGTTCCACTGGAATAACAAAAAAGCGTTGCAGCTGCAGGAATGGTCTTCTCTTTTAGAGAATTGGAATTTCTCCTCTTTAGGATATCTGTCTGCCGCCACAGTCTCCCTTTGAATGAATGAAGTTCAGATTCATATAGAAGAGTTTTCCTTTGGCTTTGATTAATTTTTATGCTTTTCTCTACCAAAACATGACCGGTATCCATTTTGAGTCAGGATGTCGGCATTACACTCACAGCTGATTTGTTTTTTTTTTCTATTTTTTGTAATTTCTAGTTATTAGTTGTACGCCCTGGAGATAAAAGTGAACTATGGTTTCGTCGTTTTATGGTCGAAGATCGTTGCAGCAGTAATTCCATCTCTTATACAGAATATTTATGTCATATACATAAAGAAGTTTCTGGTCTATTACGTTGAGATGTGCGTGTGTGTGTGAGAGAGAGTGACAATTACACAGATACTTTTCAAATGCACAAAAAAGGTGATCAAGTTCTTCTACCATTACTTCACTCTGCTACTTATATCCTACTGATAATATACTAACTAATTTGAACAGTGTGTTAACTTTCTTGAGACATTTCCTCTGAGCTTATTCTCTCTTTCAATGTCGATTTGCCTACCCTTTTGAAATCTCTTGTCTGCTGGCCTTCTTCAGAATACCCTTCTATATCTATCTATCTATACTGAGTGTTTAAAACGTTTCTCATAGGTGAACCATGAAGGCACTCTGCCCCTTTAAACTTCGTATTAGGGGGGGGTGGGTGGGTGATATTGACAACTCTGATTACCGATTATTGTGATTATTATTACTATTATTATTTGATAGTTTTTCTTGTTCTGCTCTTGAAGACACACATGCACACGCATGTTTGTCTGTGTGCTTGTGTGTGCGTGTCATTTCTACAGATCTTCGTTGAGATCGCCGTCTGAGGTTTCACCGCGTTTTATTTGACTTCTTGGGGATTTTCTTCTAACTTCTTTGGTGGCTGTTAGTTAGTTAGTTAGTTGATTAATTGATTAATTAGTTAGTCTTTCTTACTTTGGTTTTTGTGCTTGTGTGTGTGTGTGTATGTGTAGGTGACTGCCCTCCTGTTTGGTATTCCTTCTCCTACTCCCCCCCAAAATTCTCACTCATGTTGGATCTCCTCGTCGTCTTCTCCCTCTCCGACTTCTTCTTTGTTGTCCGTCTTCTAGTTTCCTAACCTAAGAACAACTAACTACTCATTCTTGCTTTATTTAGGAAAGAATCCCTAATCACAATAATAATAATAATGATAATGCCAACAATAATGTAATCCTGAGCATGGTACCATGCTACTACTGATAATATGCACTGAGTAGTATCTTTTATCTTTTTCTCATTTTATTTTGGTTTCAACTTTTGTTTATAAAGGAATGAAAAAACAGCAACAAGTGCTTTATGATTATTATTATTATTACTGAGTTAATTTTTGAAAAGATAAAAATATGCTTTGTTCTCCGGTTCTGTCCTGAAATGTATGTTTTGTGTCTTTTGTGTTCTAGTGGACGGTGAGTAGTGTCGGGGAGGAGGGGCGGGCAGGAAGCAGTACAGTACAGTACCTTAGATATAAGTGCCAATTGTTTTAATTTGACAAAGCAATAAGAAGACGTAATTTGTCTGAATCGTGTCTGTCTGTCTGGATTCAACATAGAACTTGGCACCGAAGTGCAGCAGTTCGAGTTGCCACGTTCCAAATACCACACAGAGGTAGACAAGAAGATGAGTGGAGAGAATCAATAGAGTTTGATAAGGATAAGAGTGAAACATAATGGGTAATGGTAGAAAGGAATATGAAAGATTACAGAGACTGAATACATCTGCGCTGGCCATTGACAACGATTTTGAGCCATGTCACCTATTGTTTCCAGCCATTGATTCCTAGAGTCCCGAGGGCCCCAACCCGGGAGTCTGCATCTCCCTACCTGACTCAGTTTAACTGTCAAGGATTTCATGGATTGATGAGGCCATGTTTTTGTTTGGCCACCACTGGCTCTTTTCCAACCTGAACCTATATCAGCTAGCAAAGCCCGTCGGGGGAGGCGGTGGTTAGGCATGTGCAGCACGTGACCTAGCCATCTTAGTCTATGTAACTTTATAGCCTCGTCGATTGATTTTCCCTCTTTGCCCAACACTCTACGCCTAACGTCAACATTACTTATCTTGTGAAACCACCTAACGTGAGACAGGGATCGCAGACACCTATGATCGAAAGCAGTTAACCTTTTCATGTCTTCAACGCGTATTGGCCATGTTTCAGAGCCATAGAGAAGGACGGGGCGAACTGCTGAGCAGTACACACGTCCCTTGGTTGATAACCGGATGTCACGCCTACGCCAGAGATGGTGTAAGTCAGCGAAAGCAGCTCGAGCTTTTCGGATCCGTGCTGAGATTTCATCGCCAATCAGTCCGTTGGTGCTAATACAACTTCCCAAGTAGGTGAAGTGGTCAACATGTTCTATCACTTCACTCCCTATCACTAAGTTAGGGATTGACGGGGTCCAGTCCTGTAGCAGCATCTTACATTTTGCAGGGGCGAATCGCATGCCAAACATACGAAGATTGCTGCTCAAGGTGTTCAGAAGACTCCGCATTTTGTCAGCTTCCTCCCCTAACAGGACTATGTCATCTGCATATTCTAAGTCCATTAGATTATTCCCTGGTAACAAGTCGATTCCTAAGTCACTACGTTCAGTTAAGGATACTTCCATTAGCATATCTGAATCGTGTAATGTGTATTTGCGCAATACACATTTTGAGTTAAAAGGCCGCCATATTAAAGGTCGAAATAACAATGAACATCAGTCACTAAACCAAATAACAGAGGTGACAGTACATCTACCCTGACTGGTATCAAAACAAAGTTTACCAAGGAAAGTTTAGTTAGCGTGATGACGAATTGTTGCTTTAAACGCATAAAGCTGGTTTAAATTTCCTAACTGCCAACTAGGGCTTCCACAAACTTTAGGATACTACTCCCTCCACCAAATACGTTCTCTGGATAGGTTTAAAAGATTTGTTGATGTTAATTTTATGTCCTGTATCCCATGTAATATGTTTCGCAATAGAGGAGCTAGGTCTCCTATTCTTCTGGAGTCATTTAGGTATATGCTCTGAAGCCCCTACTTGCAGATATCGACGAGTACTCCCTTCCTTGCATGTGCATGCATACGTACATTCAAATAGGTAAATACAGTGGGATGTGACATCATTTTTCGTGTGTTCTAAGGGCTTAGATGGATATTATCGGCGGTTTCACATTCTCAATTATTATGATATTAACTGCCAGAGGATCTGGAAAAGATCAGATAGTGAATGATGACGTTTTGGTCACTATCAACCTTGGGAATTAAGCTCCTGAAGCTCCTCCACAGCTGCCTTGTTGATCAGACTTCAATTCAAACACTTGCAGGCGAGAACGACCCCTTAAGATAATCACCTGCTTTAGTATGGACATCCGCGGAGTATTCCATCCCTTGCATAAACTATGAGACAACTTTGTATACCGCATCTTCAGGAGCCCATTATTGTTATTATTCTTTCTAGACAGTGCAATAAGAAGACGTAATTTGTCTGAATCGTGTAATGTGTCTTTGCGCAACACACATTTCGAACAATCTGATCCAGCACACACACACACACACGGACTTGTCATAGGAATCTACACATGTATGAAAGTAATAAAGAGTTAAGGGAGGTGGGTGACAAAATAGACTACTCAGGTCAAGTTAAAAGTCCGCCATATTTGAAGGTCAAAATAACAATGAAGATCAGTCACTGAACCAAATAACAGAGGTAATAGAACATATCTACCCTGGCTAGTATCAAAATAAAATTTTCCAAGGTAAGTGGTTTAGTGTGATGACGAATTGTTGCTTTGGTCACGTAAAGGTAGTGTGCTCGGGAGGCACAAACACGAGAGAGCTAGACAGGCTTTAGACCGGGAAGAGGGTGTAATGATCATATCTTCACCCTCCGACAGATTCTAGAACATAGTCATTCCTACCGGCGTCCAACAATCATTATATTTCTTGACCTAAAGGCGGAATTCGATTCTGTCGACCGAGAAGTTCTCTGGAGATGTGTGGCTGTAAAGGGGATTCCGAGAAAATATATTGCACTGATTAAGGCACTCTACTCGTACTCATACAGCCAGGTGAGGGCTTACGGCGAGCTGTCATCTGAACTGATGACGACCAGTGGTGTCCGTCAAGGATGCCCATTATCCCCTTTTCTATTCAGCTTTATCATATATGTACTAATGGACTTAACCCCAACTCACTTCAGCGACTCAGGGATTGACTTGCTACCATCAGGGAATAATGGTCTCGTTGACTTAAAATATGCAGACGATATAGTCCTTCTAGGCGAGGACGCTGACAAAATGCAGCAGAGTCTTCTGAACACCTTGACGAGCTGCAATCTACGAATATTTGGCATGTGATTAGCTCCTGCTGTCAAATGTAGGATGATGTTACAGGACTGGACTACATCGACGCCTAGTTTAGAAATAGGAAGTGAAGTGGTAGAGCACGTTGACGGCTTCATTTATTTGCGAAGTACCATCAGCCGACGCCAACGGGTTGATCTTTGACGAAATCTCAGCACGGATACAGAGGGATAGTTTCGCATATGCCAGTTTACTCCGTCTCTGGCGTAGACGAGATGTTCGACTATCGACCAAAGGGCGCATGTACTGCTCATCAGTCCGCTCCGTCCTCCTTTATGGCTGGCTGTGAGACCTCGTCACTGAGAGTGGAAGACATGAAAAGACTAGTCAGCTGTCTTTGATCATAGGTGCCTGCGCTCTATTTCCCGTGTGAAGTGGCATAATAAGGTGAGCAATATTGAGGTTAGGCGTCGAGTTCTAGGTAAGGTAGGGGGGAAACCAATCGACGAGGTTGTGAAATTACAAAGACTGAGATGGTTAGGACATGTGTTACGCATACCTGCCTAGTCATCGCCTTCCTCGATGAGCAATGTTAGCGGATATAGGGTCATGCTGGAAAAAAGCTAGCGGCAGTCAAACAAAAACTTGGCACCAGTCAATGAAATCCACAACAGTTGGTCTAAGCCACGTAGGAAGGTGTAGACTTCTAGGCTGGGGTCACCGGGACGGTAAAAATCTATGGTTGGAAACAATTGGTGACATGGCTCAAAGTGATCGTTCTCAGTGGCGCAGATGCATCCACTCCTTGTGACTTTGATCTCCAATGAAACTGTTTTGTTCTTCGTTATTACTCTTCCTTTGTCTCACACCTCTGCTTAATGTCTCTGTTATGTATTTCTTCTCTTGCTTTGTGTGGTACATGGAGAGAGTGTGGCGACTTGAATTGCCGCACATATGTGCAAAGTTCTATGTCGAAAACAGACAGAGAAAGAAAGGTGGTTTTAACTT